TCTGCTTTTGGGTTTTTCCCCCACTTCAGACCCCAAGGGTGGCTGCTATCATCCACAGTTTGCTGGGCCTCTCAGAAGTTCTGCTTTGCCGATAAGCAGATGTGAAGTGTTCTGGTTGAAAATGGGTTTAAGGGAATATTTGGGATTGTTGCTAGTTACCATCCTCCCTGCTGCCATGTTGGCCATGTGGCCACTTTTTCAATTTAGGCTATGAATGACCTAGATAGGCTCATGGTCACCATGAGTTTAGGCTAGCCCAAGGGACCACAAATTGAAGTCCTCCCAAATCCATAAACTCAGAGAACTTTACAGCCAACCCTGGAGCAGCCTCTAACGCCGTGATGGCGAACCTATGGCATGCGTGCCCAAAGTCGCACACAAAGCCATGTCGCCCGGCATGCATGCCCCTTCCTGTTTGTCTTCCAGGTTTCTGGTGTGCATGATCAGCTGTTCTTCAAGTGCACAGCAGTGCCGAAAATTGGTGTGTGCATGGGCACCAGCCAGCTGATTGTCAGATGTGCATGTGTGCCAGAACCCGGAGGTTCGGCTTTTCTGAAGAGCAATCTCTTTGCCTGCGCGGCAATGCTGAAAACCAGCCTGCACTTGCATGCCAGTGAGCTGATCATCGGGTGTGCATGTGCACGAGAACCCGGAAGTTTGGCTTTTTTGAAGCATGGCCCTGACAAACACGCACAACATTTCCACAGGATCTTTTTGGCACTTGGTGCCGAAAAGCTCCGCCTTCGCTACTCTAGCAGATCAAACAGGGCAGTTGCTATGCAGCAGGCTAGTAGAGTTGCAACAATCCCAACTGATTCTGTAAGCCGATCTTTAAAAATAGGATCTCACAAGCAGCTGACTGGGGAGCCTGAAGATTCCCAGAGGACAATTGCTACCCCAACTCCCCTGCCCTGATGTCTTGGTTAGTGCCATACCCTAAATGCAGATGAGCACATTTCAGAAGGGAACCTTTCAGGTCCAGTCACGTCTCACTAATATGTCCCAAGTTGATTTGTTCCTCCCTGATGAGATCCCAAATAAGGAGAGCTTTATTATTGACTGACTTGGCAATAACCAGCAGTCAAAAGCCAACTGGCAATTATCATCTGTAAATCTTGACTCACCCTAAACTCTCCAGATTATCTACTTTTCCCCAGTTCCAACCTTTCAAATCCCCTAGCTGAGGCTCCTTCCATCCATTTCTGCAATCCAAATAACAACAAAAATCAAAAGAAATGTACTTGGACAACTCTCCCAGTTCTCCAAGAGTTAATCTAATCTGTCTCTCACTGTTAATATCTAACTGAAAAAAGAAATTATATGGTTGCATAGCAACTTTGTTCTGCATTACTTGTTACAAGCAGCTAAAAATTTTCACCTGCAGGAGATAAATAAATACCAATTAAAATATTTTATAGACCCGAATGGCATCACAGAATATCAAATATCATATCGAAAGCTGAGTGAAAGCTACCCTTCTTCACTACTCTTCTTAGCAAAGTGTTTCATTAAGTAGAATTCCTACTGTGGAGGTGTCTGCATCTCCATCTATCTTTGATGAATATTGTCTTTTTGAAGTGGGCAAAAGCTTCTAATGAAATTGCGAAGGGGGCATCTGGTGTAGGAATTGTAGCATTCTACAATATTCTGTAAAATGTGCTGTGACAAGCAACTTTTTTGGCCCTCTTTCCAGAAGTGGTATTCAGCAGATTCTTACAAGTTCTGGAGAACCAGTAGTGGAAATTTTGAGTAGTTTGGAGAACCAGTAAATACCACCTCTGACTGGTCCCACCCCCATCTATTCTCTGCCTCCTGAGTCCCAGCTGATCAGGAAGAAATGGGGATTTTGCAGTAACCTTCCNGAGGTGGGTGAAATGAGGACCCAGACTGTTGTTGGGGGCGATATGCTGACTCTGTAAACCGCTTAGAGAGGGCTGAAAGCCCTATGAAGCGGTAGATAAGTCTAACTGCTATTGAAATGCTACTGGTTCTGACCGATTCACTAGAACTGGTGGCAAAAAAACGCTTTAAAAAGTGAAATGAAGAAGGCCAGACAATCGCACGGCTCACAGCTGATCCATGCGATTGTCACAACTATTTCCCCCCCCCCCACTTTTTAAAGCATTTTTTTTTCCTGCCAGTTCGGACAAATAGATAGGAAAAAAATGCTTTCCAAAGTGAAATAAAGAGTTTCCAGATCATGTGAGTCACAGCTGATCATTGGAACTATATTCTCCCACACACACACACTTTTTAAAGCATTTTTTCCCCTACCTATTCATCCGAACCGGCAGAGAAAAATGCTTTAAAAAGTGGGGGAAAGTTGGCCACACCCACTGGGTCACATGACCACCCCTATAAGCCACACCCACAGAACCGGTGGCAAAAACCCCTTCGATTTGCCCACTGCACGGGGGTCTCCGTCTGCTCTACCTAGTTGAGCTGACAAGCAACGGTGGAAGCTTCCAGACAAGCCCCCGAATAAGCCAGGGCCGCGTCTGGGATCTACACGGCAGTTTAGGGTGTTCCCTCAATCGAGCCACCAAGGTTCCGATGCCTGGTGAGGCCCTGAAGGACGCAGGCAGCAAGAGACTCCGAGCGACAGCCCATGCAAGAGGTGGCCATAGAGCCCGGAAGAGAGGCAGGCAGAACGGATGGAGACGGATGGATGGAGAGCCCAGATGACCCCACGGTTAGCAGTTGCAATGAATGGCTTCTGCAATGGCAGAGCCAGCGGGATGAACCAGGGTTAGTATGTCCGCCAGCCCTGAGGCTGGGCTGTACCTGTGGCGTGATCCAACCACGGGCGCCACCAGCGCTTCCCTTGCGGCCCGGGGTCCTTCTTCGCACCTGAGGCTGTGGAACAGGGTACAAGGGCAGGTGAGGGACACAGGGACGGCCGGAGGACAAGGCCAGCCGAGCCTGAACGAGCAGCCGCTCCATCTCCGGATGCCTTCCGCCAGCCCGGGCCCAAACGGTCTCCATCCCAGGCCTTCTCTGTGGGCCACCCATAAGGAACCTCTCGGGGGCAAAAGCCATGCCTGCTTCATGCGGCTGCCAGTGGGCGGAAGAAGAGGGCGCCCTCCCCCCACTCTTCATGGAGAGCAAGCAGGGTGTAACCAAAGCCTACGTGGGGGTTGCAGGCAGGAGGGGGCCAAATCCTAGGAGGGAGGCGGGTGGGACTTGCAAGGACAAAGGAAGACCCACATCCTCCCCGCTCAGCCTTCCGTGGGTCCGAATGGCTTCTACAGTCACACTTCCCGGCGTCTCCCGTCAGTTGTAAACTCCGCTGCCCGGAACAACGGCGTGGCATTGATGCGACATGGGTGTCGACCACTGAAAGCAGACTGTGGGACAGGCCACTGTGGGAGTTCTGCTGCCCCTTGGCCAGGGACTTCCTAGAGGTTTTCCAGAAATGTTCCCCAGCCCGAAACTCCCTTCACACCTGGCGTGGCTGCCTCCGTGGCCTCTCCCGAGTCTCTGGCCAGCTGTCCCTGGTGGTACTTCTCCTGCTTGGCTCGAATCCGTTGCATCCTGTGGGCAAAGGGCAGGAGCTGGGCAGTGGCACAGGGGCTTCATCTCGCCATGCCGTCCTGGATCCTTGTTTGCCTGCACCTCAAGTAATTTCTCTGGGTCCCAGGAGCCAAAGTCGGTGGCTCCGTCCTGCAAGACCCTTCCTCCCCAATGCTTGTGTCTCTCCTTGCCCCTTCCTGCCCAGGGTGGACTGGTAGCCTCCTCCTGGCATTTTCTCAGCCCTGCCTGAAGGACCCAGCTTGGCCGTGGGAACTCCATCCACCAGGACAGAAGCTTCACTTCTGAGCAATCAGAGGGGCTTTGAGCCTCCACAGCCCTGATTCCCATCTGCAGATCCTTCAGGGATCCTCGATTCCCCCTGGCAGATTCCCCACTTCAGTCACAAGATCTCTCCCGGGGGAGCCAGAGATCAGAGATCACTCTGATGCAAGAGCTGACGGGCGAACTCCACCTCAGGTCCCAGGAGGGCCTGTGTGTAGGTCAAATCAACAAGAACGGAATCCCCTCCTCGCTCCAGAGAACGGCGTCTCCCACCCCAGTCTTGAAAGCTGGACAAACGCTTGGGCCGCCCTCCCTGCTGGCCATCTTGCTCTCCTTCCCCTCCCGTGGAACTTACTGCCGCTTAAGTTGGACCAAGGATTTCTTTTCAGCCTGGTGATGGGCAGTCATCTGCTTGATCATCCTGGCTTTGAAGAGGGCGAAGCCCCTGCGGAGACACAAACCAGGACCCATGGATGTCGGGAAGATGGCCGAGCCACCTTCCTGACTTCCCGGAGTGGCCTGACCAGGCACAGAAAAGGGGCCGGATGCCTCGGCAACGGAGGGCCCCGTATTCACTCACTTACTGCCCTCCCGGCCTTCCGCAAAGCTGTTAAGTCCTGGCTGCTCCAGCAGGCCGGGGGGCCCTCGATAT